GGCTCTTCGGCCCCGGGTCGACCCCCTCCGCCCCCCTCCCTCTCTGGATGGATGTCCAGTGACCTGGTCCAGGCTTGGCCATCTGGGCTTGCCGAAGCGTCAGCGCGATGAAAGGCTGGATAAGTGTGTTTTCTAAGGAGTTTTTCTTTTTTTGAGGGTTTTTTTTTTTAAGGAGGGTTTTGTTGTTGTTGTTGTTTCGTTGTTGTTGTTTTTTAGGGGGGAACGAGTTTTGTTTGTTTGTGTGTTTGTGTTTTCTACAGCTGTTTCTGTTTATTATGGCAAAGGTGAAAACGTCACCTCCTCCACAACAGCAACCAGTAAAATTTATCCCAAAAATATCTCGGTACAAAACAGGTCTGTTTCAGAATTCAAAAATAAATAAATAAATAAAAAAGGAAAAGAAATCTTTACATGAGTTTTAAATCCTATTTTAAAACAGAAGAAACAACTCCATCATTGGCCACAGGGCCCCGCCGGCCCGCCCTCGGGAAGCAGCGGGAGACGACGTTCAGGCCTAGCTCCACGCACGGACTTGCTGGTGCTTTAGCTGGTGTCCATCTGAAACAGGAGAAAAAAGAGGTCAGAGAAGGTCCCACCCCCAAAAAAGAGGGGGCTCCCCACCCTCGCGCTAGGCCAGCCCCCAGACCCCCTGGCCCGGGACTCACCCTCGCGTTGTAAGCGTCCAGCTGGGCGTCCAGCTCCTCTGCAGAGATCTGCTGCTTTGAACTCCGGCCGGTGCCCCTGCCTCTGCCCCGGCTGCCTCCACGGGCGCCTCTCCGAGTGCCGCCGCCGAAGCCTCCGGATCCTCGGGTTCTAGTCATCCCGCCTCTGCTCACACTCTGTACCGGCCTGCGCTGCGTGTCTATCTGTGAGGTGACGAGCTGGATGTTCATGGGGCGGCCTGCGGCGGGAACACAAAAGGGCACACTCCCATCGGAGCCGGAACCCACCGGGCCCCCAGTGCTCCCACCAAGACAGGCAGCCTGGACCCACGGGGAGGAGCAGCAGCACCGAGGATAGCCTGCCAACGCCTCACTCCTCAGCCCGGCTCAGGCGGCGTCGCTCACAGGTGGAAAGGTGGGGGCCCCTGACACCCTCAGCCCGCCCGCAGAGCGAGCACTACGGTGCTTCTGGAAGGCGAGGCTTCGGGAAGGAAGGAGCTGAAGGGGAGGAACGTAGCTTGTTGGATGGGGATCACAAGAGGTGGGTCCAGACGTGGAGGCAGCAGAGGGTGGCAGAATGGGAGACAAGGGGGTGACGGCAAAGTGTCCTCAACGGGGAGGGGGAGGGTGTAAGCATACAGGTGCCAGCCCTCAGCTCTCTGGGTCCAACCCCAAACGCACCATCCAAAGGGACGCCGTTGTACTGTTTCATGGCTTTCAGGGCGTCTGCCTTCCGCTCAAAGTGCACGTCGGCTGTTCCCAGGCTGCGGCCAGAGCGGTCGTAGTGCACGGCGGCCTTCTTCAGAGTCCCGAACTCCGCAAACAGCTCCTGGAGTCAGGAAGAGCATCATCAGCCACGCCTGTCCCCTCCGGCGGCCGGGGGACAGCCCCGGGAGTGTCAGCTACTTTGAGGGCACTTCCCTGGGTGGCAGACATACAGGTGGGGGCAGGACAGTGGGAGTGGGATGTGGGGGAGGACGGGGCAGGCGAGACAGCAACTTCCAGGAAAGCTGGGCCTGAGGGCTCCGGCCAGCCTGGGGGCCTGACATCTACCACCAGCCCCCGTGAGGGGCACCCGTGAAGTCGCTGTCTTCTTTGACAAAGGAGCTGACAACACACCCGAGAACAGTGCCAACCATCAGCAAAGGCCGAGATCACAGAACCGGGGACACCACCTGCCATGTGCACCAGCTCCAGGGCCCACTGGTTTGGGGGTCCTGCCCAGCCCCCCGGGGCAGGTTCTGGCTCACCTTTCCCTCTCCAGGTGATTGGACTTCCCCAGCTCTGGGAAGGACAAACAGGGGACGCTGTCTGCGAGAACGCAGGGGCTGAAGGGTGCTCATGGATGCCGATGGACCACTGAAAGCAAGGAGTGTCCGTGCGTGACTGCGGATGTACACACACAGACGCACGCACACGCACACACACACTCCCACACCCACACCCACACCCACACCCATCCACCCACCGCCCCCCCCCGCATTCCCCTCCTCCCACACACACACACAGGGGAGCACAAGGTCTGCTAACAAGATTTCTGCTGAGTGACGCAGTCCTAGGAGATTTACTGTGGCTTTTTTCCCTTGTGGCCTGTCCTGGGCACACCTGAGCCTGTCTAAATATGTATTGTCCCCTCTTCAACCCAGAAGACGGCGTTGCCACCCTGCAAGGCGTGGAGACTGAGCCCTGTGGGCTTCCTTGGGCACCTGCCCCATCTCCCAAGCCCGGAAATCCCTTCGGCGGGCCAATGGCGCACTCTACTGGTCCTGGAGCGCCAATGCAAGCCTCCTCCTCACCCCCCACTCCCACCCTTCAGCAGCCTCCTCTAGGGAAGGCAGAGCCAGGTGTCTGGACCTCCCGGGTGTAGGGAGACCCGAGGGGTGGGGAAAGGTCCAGCCTGTGGCGCTGTCTGAGAGAAGGCGTGTGTGTGTGTGTGTGTGTGTGTGTGTGTGTGTGTGTGTGGCGGGAGAGGGGAAGGGCCGGGGGGAGAAGACGGGTACTCTCAGATGCCATTCCCACAGTGGAAATCCCCCAGTGCGCCCGCGTGACCGCAGAGGTACACACACGGAGCACAATGTCAGGCACCCAGATTTCTGCCGAGTGATCCGCATCTAGGAGATTCACTGTGGCTTTTTTCCGGGTGGCTCGGGCCTGTGGATCATATTTGATGTTCAGCTGAGATTCTGATCACACCTACAGTACAACTGACCTCCTTGGATTCAATGGTTTTGAAAAACAGACGTCATAGGGCACATCTGAAGGATGGCATCCTATTCATCTCCTAGAGTCGCCATGTCCTGCTGCCACCAAAGAGGTGGCTTACAAGAACAGAAAGAAATTCCCTGAGAGGCCAGATGCCAGGAGTCACAAATCAAGGTGCCAGCGGGTGTGTGTGTGTGTGTGTGTGTGTGGCGGGAGGGGGGGGGGGCCGGGGGGAGAAGACGGGTACTCTCAGATGCCATTCCCACAGTGGAAATCCCCCAGTGCGCCTGCGTGACCGCAGAGGTACACACACGGAGCATAATGTCGGGCACCCAGATTTCTGCCGAGTGACCCGCGTCTAGGAGACTCACTGTGGCTTTTTGCCGGGTGGCTCGGGCCTGTGGATCATATTTGATGCTCAGCTGAGATTCTGATCACACCTACAGTACAACTGACCTCCTTGGATTCAATGGTTTTGAAAAACAGACGTCATAGGGCACATCTGAAGGATGGCATCCTATTCATCTCCTAGAGTCGCCATGTCCTGCTGCCACCAAAGAGGTGGCTTACAAGAACAGAAAGAAATTCCCTGAGAGGCCAGATGCCAGGAGTCACAAATCAAGGTGCCAGCGGGACCCCTTTCCGTCTGGGGGTTCTGGGGAGCACCTCGCCTGCCTCCACCAGCTGCTGGTGGCCTCTGGCGTCCTGGGCTCAGAGCTAATATACAAAACCATACAACTGTATTCACATCCACTTCAGCCTCTGCCTCCCATGACCTCCACGGCCCGCTTCATTCGGTGTGTTTGCGTCTCTGGTCTCCCCCCTCCCACACATCTTCGCCTGCCACCCCCTCCCTTAGAGGAATGAATACCAGGCATCGCAGCCACGTTCAGGAGAACGAGAGAGAGAGAGAGAGAGAGAGAGAGAGAGAGAGGAGAGAGAGAGAGACAGTGATGTGAGAGAAACATGGATGGGGTGCCTCCCACAAACACCCTGCCCAGAGCCAGGATGGAACCTGGTATGTGCAACCACGTATGTGCCCTTGACCCGGAATCCCTTGACCCAGAATGGAGCCCTCAGCTTTCCAGTGCATGACACGACTTCTCAGCTACTGAGCCACACCAGGAGGGCTCCGTTTGTCTTTCAATTGGATCCTGTCATCTATTTATACTTGAAGAGATTATTGCCAGTTAAGGGTGCTTGCGGTGTTATGGTTTTCTAAGTGTTTTAGAGTCCTCCATTTCTCTTTTATTTTCTTGCTCTCTTGTCCTGTATGTTGAGGACTTTCTGTAGTGCTATGTTTGAATTCCTTTCACTTGTTTCTCGTGTGCCTCTTGTAGACTTTTGGTGTGTGCTTACCTGGACTCTTGACTTAGGACAAATAAACAGCCTCTTCTTTCATTGGAGGTTGAAAAACCAAGAGAAACACACACACACACACACACACACACACACACACACACAGAGACACCCACCAAACCACCCCGAAGGTAAAGCCCTACCTCACACCACACACCATCACTGCTAAATGTATTCAAGGACAGTTTACAACCTGGAAAGCAGAGACAGTGGACAGGGCTTCTATAGAGTTTTATGTCAATTTCAAATGAAGCACGTGGTCAAGGTCATTTTTAACTTTTGTTAATGAATTCATTAGGTTTGAGGGAATCCGTTTGCCATGGATGGAAAGGACAGACAGATATGTGGCAGGCAATGATAAGCACTGAAATAGTCCTTAAAATCCAGAAATTCTGCTGATAAAAAAATGCAAATGGGACCGATGTTTGCAACGGTTCATTGCCGAGAAATAGAATCAATTGCAATGAATGAAGAGAAACGAGCAAAGAAATAATGACATAACATAAAGTAAAATAAAAACCCCCAACACTCTTCACGGGTCCGGGTCGAAGGAGCCTGCAAAAGAGGCGAGGGTCAAGCACACCAGGCATCGCAGCCATGTTCAGGAGAACCTTTCCTTGAGATGCGCCACCTGAAGGGCGCATCTCCGTTTGATATTATACAGTGGAACTTTTGCTGCTGCATCACTGATGACAGAGTTATTTTGTAATGTATACATGCACACTGATAGTCCGACAGAAAACTTTATGACTCCGTTTGATATTATACAGTGGAACTTTTGCTGCTGCATCACTGATGACAGAGATTTTACATCTCTGTCTCCACGCCTTGGGGGGCGGCATCGCTGTTTTCTGGATTGAAGAGGGGACAATACATATTTAGACAGGCTCGGGTGGGCCCAGGACAAGCCACAAGGAAAAAGCCACAGTAAATCTCCTAGACGTGGATCACTCAGCAGAAATCTTGATAGCGGACCTAGTGCTCCCATGTGTGTGGGGGGGTGGGGGGGTAGGTGTGTTTGTGTGTGTGTGTGTGTGTGTGTGTGTGTGCACTCGGCGTTTGCATCCGTGTGTGTACATCCGCAGTCACGCACGGACACTCCTTGATTTGAATGGTCCGTCGGCATCCCTGAGCACCCTTCATCCCCTGCCTTCTTGCAGACAGCGCCCCCTGCTTGTCCTCCCCCCCTCGGGTCTACCCAGAACTGGGGAAGTCCAGGCACCTTTCTCTGCCTTCCCCAGATGAGGCTGCAGGAGGGGAGGTTGCATTGGCGCTTCTCGACCAGCAGAGGGCAGGACGTGCCTGGTGAAGAGTTTCCTGGATTTGGAGAGGACTTCAGAGATTCCGCAGGTGCCAGAGGTGCCCCGCAGGGCACCTTCTCCAGGTCTTGCAGTGCACCATCACTGTTTCCTGGGTTGAAGAGGGGTCAATACATATGTAGACAGGCTCGGGTGGGCCCGGGACAACCCTCTTTGGCAAAGGCGGATCCGGGGCTGTGCGCGCTGTTGTGGAAGACCTGCAGGACGCTCGGGCTCTGGTCACACATTTCCCAGCCTGTCCAGGGTGGCAAGAGCCATCACAGCCCATCCAGGAGGGATTAGAAATGTTTTGGGGGCTCTAGTGAGCCACACAAGCCTCCCCGGGTGTAGGGGGCTGCTGATCCTAGGAAGGTAACCAGACGTTTTTGTGCATTCTCAGCCATCCTGAGGGCATAATCCACCCTGGTTCACATCAGCACAGCTGGACATGCGCCTCGGAGGGGGACATGGAGCCTTTTCATGCTGGGATCCAACCCCAGCAGGTCCAGGGGTCCCCAAAGGTGTGGACAGAGTCGGCGAAGAAGAAATGACACGGAGACAGCCTTCAGTTGATCAGCAGCCTAGTCAGGACCTCTAGCCAGGATCTCCAGCCAAAGTTCTGGTCGGGATCTGATCAGGATCTGATGTTTATTGTCTTGTTACATCTATATTTATACCAGCCGATTTTAATCCTGTCAATTTCTATTACAAAGGTTAGGGCGTTTCTTATCTCCATTCCAGGGAGTAAAGATTATGTAGCTTAACTACCCGCCTGGCACTTAGTTAAGGGGTTGTATCCCCTCCCTGACCTCAGGGAAAAATCCCCACCTGGGGAAACAACCTTTCTCGGAGAGGTGACCTTGGTTAAAACACATGGCACTAAAGAGAGCAAACATATTAAGAACAATATGCTATATATGCCAGGTCCCTTGAAACATATGCTGTGCAGATGTTTCTTTCCTGCGGCGACTGTGTCAAGCAGCAAGGATGGACCGGCTTCCGGCATTTTCAGACATTAGTCCCAGGAGTGGAGGCCCAGCTCCACGGGACAGAACTGCGGCCTGGGAGTGCCGGCAGGTCTGGCAAGCGTGCGCCACAGATGATGGCCTCCAAGATGCAGGGCATGCCTCGTGAACAGAGACTGAAATCAATGCGCAGAACACCGCGCCCTCCACCCCGCCCCTCGCCCCTGCCAGCCCCCCACACACACGCCCCAAATGACCCAGCACCAGATGCACAGCCATAAAAATCATGATGGGCAGCCTGGTTGTTGGGGCTCAGTGGATAGCGCGGCGGCCCTCGGACTGAAGCGGTTGGATTCTGATTCAGGACAACTACCTGGGTTGCAGGCTCCATCTGTGACCTTCCTTGGTCGGGGTGGGTGCGGTATGTGACCTATATTTGTGTCTCTCTCACATTGAAGTTTCTCTGTCAGTCTCTCCTCCTCCATTTCACCCTCCCTACAGATCATTGGGTAAGTATCCTTGGGTGAGGATTTCCAAAGAAAAAGAAAAAAAAGAGAGAGAATACCTACACGGGTTCACGGGTATCCAACTTTGCCATGATTGCAAAGTCTTTGTCCCGGCACCCTGGAAGGTTACCCGCACCCCCTCTTTACCCCCACCCAGTGATTAGCCCAAGGCTCTCCCGCAGGCCCCTCCCTGCGCCTCTCCTGCTTCTGAGATGAGATCACTGGCATGCAGGCACGGACCTGTGCCACTTCTTGTGCTTCCTCCTGTTCTCCTTGGCTTCCCCTCTGGGACCAGGACCTTGGCCAGTGACCTTGGCCACCCAGGGGAGGACGTCCCCGGCTGGGTGGTTGAGCAGGTGGTCGGTCCTGCCACCGCTGCTCCGGGACTGGTGAATGACAACGGCTTCGGCAGGCAGGGCACACTCGACTTCCCTGAGGTTGAACTCAGGCTTCGGTGGGGATTGTTCCTGGAGCAAGAGCCAGTGCTGTAAGCTGGTGTGCTAGACCTGCGCCTCTTGCGTGAGCCTCTCGGACCCGGGAGCCGTGAAGTGGGGGGCACTCTCGACCCCGTGGGGTCGACCTTGCGTTCCGTCCTGGGGCAGCGTGCTTCCCCGCCGTCTCCGTCCCGTTCACTGGTCTGGACTTAAAAGAGCACATAGGCGCGTTGGCTCAGGGCCACAGACGCGTCACAGGCGGTCACCTGGGCGTCGTCCATCTTGAGCCAGGGGCCGCCCGCTTCTCGGACGTAGTAGAAGTAGTGGCTGCTGTGGCAGGTGCGGCTCGCGTGGGCCAGCACGGCGTAGAGCCGGTACAGCAG